GAGGACTGAGCCTGCTCCACCACTGGGGGCCCACGGGCATTCGGTCCTGTGTCTCAGGAGGGGACTGTGGAGCTAATGAGCAGCCCCGGCCGGCTCACGCTCCCGGCCCAGATAGACAGGAGTCCTGCCTGTGCTCCCGCAGCCGCTGAGGTCTGCTGGATGGAGTCCTGCACCCCGGCATGCCACATTAGTGGGGCCTGGCGTGTCCCCTGCTGGGTTATGTGCAGCCTACGCCCAGTCACGCCTCGTGGCCGTGGGAAGGAGGGGGTCTCTGTACTGCCTCCAGAGCAGGGCGTGGTGGTTCTCACCAGGTGGGGCGGTGTGTCTGTGGGCTCTGAGGTTTTCCAGAGCCAGAGTCTTCAGGGGCATATGTGTCCACCCCCGTGCTGGGGCCACAGCTCACGCCACGCACCTGCACAGCCACATGCAGGGCCTGCGGTCTTTTCTTTGTGCAGGGCACGGCTGTGTCTCCCCTCACACCCCACACCCCTTGTGGAGCTGTGGGGCGCCTTAAACTACAGCTTCCACATCTCTAACCCAAGCTGGTGTTGACGGAGCCCCAAATCAGGACAAGCCATGTGGAGCCATGTGATCCTCCTTGGGGCATGGAGGCCTGGCCTGAGGTCTGGAGGCTGGAGAAGCAGCGTCTAGGGGATGGGGCCCTGGAATCTCGGAATGTCAGAGGGTTTGAAGACGGGCCAGCAGCCTGTCTGGGTCGGACCCTGTGCCCTGATGGGCTCTGATGGAGCCGAGCTGCAGCCGACCTCCTCCCCCAAGTCAGCGCCTCCTCCTGACCCCCAACAGCCAGTTGTCTCCTGCAAGAAGAGCTTCCTCTCCAGGCCTCCAGGTGCCTCCAGCCACTGTCCCCACGGGAAGATGGTCTTGGGGTCTCAGGGGGTTCCAGCTAGCTCAGGCACCCCTGAGTCTGCAGCCTCATCTGAAACGTTGCCGAGGTGCTGTTACAACCGAGGGGGGAAATGCAGGAATTGCAGGAGCTTGCGAGGACCATGCTGGCTGCGGAGCTGCCAGAGCCCGAGCTGCCCCCTGGGCGAGGAGAAAGTGTGCAGTTCTTGGGCGGGGACGTGGTGACGTGGGAGGCTGGAGGTGCGGAGGAGGGCGGGCAGAGGACAACCGCCGCCTGGCCAAGTCCCCCCACGGTGCCTCATGGCTCTGAGCTGAGCATTGCCCACCCCTGCCCTGGCCCAGGCCTGGGCGATGTGCTCAGACAGATAGCAAGTGGCCGGGGCACTGGGGCCTGCCTGGCTGTGACTGCCTCCCTGGCGGCTCTGGGCGAGCCTTCTCAGGCCCTTGGCTTCTCTGTCTTCTGACCCTGGGAGTGTGGGGAGAGATGGACTGGAAACGCAGGACAAGGCGTTTCCAAACCTCAACATCCTCGCACCTCCCTTCCCAGCTCCGAGGCCTGGTGCATGTGCCTGAGCCCTCCAAGCCTCAGTAAATGTCAGCGAGGTCAATGCGTCATAATTCCTTGTCGTAATTGAACCTGTGGCTTTTGCAAAAGGAGCATTGGTGAGAGCGTGGAGATGGGATAGCGCCCGGCCTCGATGCCCGGCAGCCGCTGTGGAGACACCAGGTGAATTTCTGCACACTGGGGGCTCCTAAGCCACCCCACGAGGGCATCACCAGGACGTCCATCTCAGAGCTCCTGGGCGGGAGTGGGTGGGTAGGAGGTGAGGGTGCCCCGTGGATACTGAGCAACAGCCAGAGCCAGACGCTGTGACAGGCCTGAAGCGTGGCACCAGATGCAGAGTGCAGGCGAGCGGGCAGCGGCTGCGTGCAGACGGGATGCGGGACAGGCCGGCGGTGTAGCAGCCGGACCATGTGGAAAAGACCCTGGGTTCGTGCCCGTGCACGTGTGTGTGGCCATGAGCCGGGCCGCTGAGACCGGGAGCGGCTGACAGTGGGGACCCTCCTGGGGGTGCCTGTCTCTCTGTCACTCTGTCTCTTTCTCTCATGGAAGAAAGAAATGTGAAAAAACAAGACGGAGAACCCGTCCGCACGTGCGCATTCCCCCAGAATGGGGCCTCGCAGACACGTGGGCAGGGCCGCCCTGGGGGTGGGGTGGGGACAGACGGAGGGTGGAGGGCGGTGGGCTGGCCTGTGGCCACTGGGTGTGCCCCGATCACTGGAGGGGAAAGAGGGAAAGAAGAGAGGGGAGAGAGGAAAGAAGAAAGAGAAAGCAGAGCCGAGCGAGCGTCCGGCCAAGGGTTTTATTCCTGTCCAAGGTGGGTTGGCAGCCGAGGGCTCCAGTGAGCCCCAGAGGGGTCCTGAGAAGACCCCGGTGATGGCAGTGTGAACGCATCTGCCCATCCGTTTACCACTCCAGCCATTTCCCCGGTCCCCATGGCTAACGACAGGCCTCCGCTGGGGTTGCTGTCCCATTTCACAGGCGCGGGGTGACCCCAGGTGGCACAGGAGCTGGGATGAGAGGTGGCTGGAACTCCGGGGGGCCTGGCTCAGCAGGGCACCTGCCCGGAGGGCCCCTCTCTGGCAAGAAATTGAAAGGAAGCCAGGCCATTC